TCATCACTCCTTTCTTTCTCTCCAATCCCATTTCTAATCTGTTAAAAGATTGATTCCTCCTTTAAAATATATCCAAGATCTAATCCCTGCCCACCATGCTCACTCTTATTGCTACAGCTGAAGCTGCCATGGTCTCCTCTAGACTTCCAGAGGCCTCCATAATTCTCTGGCTTCACCTCCCCCTTCTCCACCCAGTAGTTAGGATGGTGCTTTGAAAGGTTAAGGTTAAATTGCAACACCATGTCAACATTTTCCCCAAACCATCACATGATTTCCCATTGTGTTTGGAAAATATAATCCTTACTTGGACATGCAAGGTTCTGTATATGGCCTGACTCTTGACTTGTCCTCATGTCCTGCCTTTGCTCCTGTACCCTGATACCCTTGCCTCAGCCACACTGGCTTCCTGTTGTCCCTAGGGCATGCCAAGCACTCGTGCTCCTGGACATTTGAACATGCTCCTCTCTCTGCCTAGAACACTTCCAGTCCACCTAGTCTTGTGCTCATTTTATTCAGGATTCTGAGGATTTCCCCAGACCATGTCTCCCCTCTGCAGGTTATCTGATACTATGTTATGTATTGTTGCATTTTTGCCTGACTATCCCACTAGAAGACAGTCCTCCAAGGTTAGGGACTTTGTCATGCAGACTGTTATCCATCCCTACTGCCTGAAATCATCATCATGGCATAGTTGGAGCTCAAGAATTACTTGTTGAAGGAAAGGACAAGTGAGTGATTCATTTGCTATTTGGGACGGACTGTTTATTTTTGTAAAGCCGCCTGCTTCTTAACTCCTTTCTGGCTTCAGTCTCTTAACATATCTTTATCTTAACTAAAATGTCACTATAGCAGTTGTCTTCTCTGCAGATTCAGAATTTGAGTTGTTAGCATTGCCCTTTTTGGAGGTTTGGGGTTTCAGCGTGGCTGACAGTGGGTATGCTTCTCAGTGACAGTAGGGACATGGAAGTCAGTCCCACCGAATGGACCTCTGGATCACCTAACACTGAATGATTGGGGGGCTGTATGCAGTATTTGTGTTTGATTTCAGTGCTTTAAAGGGGCATTCACCTTTAGAAAGTTGACATGTATATTTGAATTTTTATTATTAGTGGGAATTTGAATTTTTATAATTAGAGATTCCTTTATTTGACTTACCTTTGGTTTTATTTCTAACTTACAATTGTCTCCTAAAAATGCTAAAATTAGTGGGTCTGTATTACCATAGTGCTGTAATCATAACATGTATGGCCATGAAATATTCTTAAATTGTGTTTATGTGTGAGAGTGGAAGAAAAATATTTTAGCAGTATGAAATATGTGATATTGGCAGTTGTCCCTGACAATATCATTATCACAACAGAAGGTGTACACACACACACACACACATATACACACACACATTGTTTGTCAGTCAAAAGTGCACTTTATCCAAGTCATACCAATATTTTTTGTTCATGTCATAGTGAGACAAGTGGCTCTCTATTGTTTCCTGAAGTCCTGATTGGACTTCATGGGTTGTCCATTCACTGTTTTATTCACCAGAATGCCATTTCATTAAGAAGATGTGCTTTTAGAATCAGATCTACCTGACTTTGAACCCTATTCTTCCCTTTACTTTTGTGACCTTGGAAGAGTTACCTACTCTTTTTATTTTTATTTTTTTGAGAGAGAGAGAAAGAGAGAGAGAGAGACAGAGAGGGAACATGAATAATTTTTTAATATTTATTTTTTAGTTTTCGGTGGACACAACATCTTTATTTTATTTTTATGTGGTGCTGAGGATTGAACCCAGCGCCCCGCACATGCCAGGCAAGCGCGTTACCGCTTGAGCCACATCCCCAGCCCCAGAGTTACCTACTCTTTATACCAATTATTTTATCTGTAAAAGGGGAAGTGATATTTTTATCATGGGTTGTTAGGCGATTAAATGAAGCAATGCACCTAAACTCATTGGTGCAGTCCCTGGAATAGAATAAGCAGTCAGAAAATGTTGGCTGTTATTTTTATTACTTGAAGGATCTGTTATGATACCCTAGTAGCCAAATAAATAAATGCCATGTTTATTTTATTCAGACAGACCCTTTGTAAAAAGCAATTGATCCTGCACACTTGCAAGGGTAGGGGGCCACAAAGATTGATTCATTTCTTTATTCCATGTTCATCTGCTCAACTTGAGGCATTCACACAGCCAACTTCAAAGTGCTTCTCACTCCTAAGAGGTGGGACTCTGGTCTTTGAGGCTCTCCATGTTTCCCTCCTAAGCAGGAGGACAAAATGAGGACGTGTTGAAAGGCATCAGAGTGGCGTGGTCTTTGACACAGGCTTAGTCATTAAAGCAAGTGTCCTGGGCATCAAGAAGTGAAGTTTTCCGGAGGCCAGAGGACTATCATTGTAACAGCTTCTAAAGGAGAAGGGGAGTAACGTTTAGCTGAGCGGACTCCTTTGATTTCTTATTCTGTCAGATCCTGAGACACTTTCTCAGGTTGGTGGCGTTCAGGGTGCTCGGTTTTTATGGCTGCCGAGTGATTTGTAACTAAACATAGATAGAGCTTTTGAAAAACATAAAGTAAAAGAGGATGAGCAAGGGCTATGAAATGATCCACATTCAAAAAGGAGTATAGAAGTTTCTGACTGGGTGCTCTTTTTCCCCCTCTGCTTCTTGCTGGGTTGGCATTTTCTCTGAGGTAGTAAACAATACTGATAGTGATAAATGTTCTAAATTTCTTTAGAGATTTTGCCAATTGCCGGTGAATGAAAGTTGGGTACTTTTGGTTAATGAACTACCAATAGAGTTTTTGTTACTTTATATAAAACCATAGTCATTAAACTTTCCTTTTCATTTTTCTCTCTAATGATTTCTCAGATCCCTCCATTGCTAATTTTTATAAGGTCATGATAAATTAATTGAAAAAGCAATTTATATAGTATGGCCTATTCATTTCAAACAGGCAAACAAATTACCCTGACTTGCTATAATTCTAAAACTTTGTTTTTTTAATGCTTTGGTGAACTTTGGTCGTCATAATGTACGCTGTGGTAATCCTGGATCCCTAATATTAGGGCATCTGATGAAATTTTCATAAATCAAATGTTAAGAGTGTGTGTGTGTGTTCATATGTGTGTGTGTGTCTGTCTTCTGAGGCAGCAAGGGGCAAATAGTACATGTAGAAGGATATTAGAAAGGGAATTGATATTTAGTGAATTTATATTCAGGGTCAATATTTGATATTATTTTTAACATTTTATAAATGTTCGGAAAAAGTCAAATTAGCAAAGCTCACATCCAGACAAGGTCAATTTGACACTAAAGCATGCTTGTCATCTATACCGCATGGCCCCAGTTTGCAGGTCTTTCTTATTGCTTGTACCATAGCAGCCCTGAAGTTACCTGCTGTATCTGACTCCTCTGGCTTTTGCCAGAGAGTTCTTTAGGGAAGTCCTTGAAGGGGAGGGTTCGAGAACTTAGTAACCATCCAGCAATACAGACCCTAGTCTGATTGCATTTACAGAGCTGCCTGTGTCCTGAGACTCAGAAACAAGAGGAACAAGTCCTCCACTTTGGTGACCATGCAGTTAAGATGAGAATTCTGTGAGAAGGAAGGGCTTCGGAGTTCTCCTCTGAAGAAGGGCTGTCTCTGGAGAGAACTGGTCCTCTCTTAATCCTAGGAATTAGAAACATATTGCTGTATCTACTCACCTGGCCGGAGTAGGACCTGAATTCCACCCTCCAAACTCTTCACGTACCTATGGATAAATTTTGAAGCTTGGAAAAGCCATGTGAGATTGAGGGAGAAAAATTGTGTTATAACAAGCCCCAAATGATTGTCTAAGTCCTTTTTTTCTACAATGATCTTTTTACAAGATGAATGGTTATCAGCTTTCAAGCTTTTTAGAATGATGTATTAATTGCAAGGGGTTTGGTCACTGTTAGGTTTCTTAGGGATTTGCTTCCTTATTTTGATAGCTATTACTTGATTTCAATTTTACTCTAGTTTCTGTAAGGTTAGGGTCTTGGTGACATGAGTTTTTTTTAAATTTTTATTTTAAACAATCATAAACCCAAGAAATTTTTCTTTATATCTGAACTAGGACAGAAGGTAGGAAACTGTCCTTAAATTTTTGTTACTATTTCAGTAGTTGGGCTGTTGGCCTTTTTTAAACATTTTTTTTAGTCTGTTGGTGTTTATGTGAAGGCTGTTTTGGGCTTGAGGAATGGTATAATAACCCACAAAAGAAAATTATTTCTGAAGTAATCATGCAGATATGAATACAGTGCTATGATAGTTCTGTTTTCTGTATGTTGTATACAAACTACATTGTGGGTTTCTGCCTTATTTGTGTGTGTATATGTGTATGTTTATGTGTATTAGAGAGTTTCCTAACCAATTATAAACCAGGAAGATATATTCCTGAGTCAGTTTAAGTAACAGCATGGCTGCATGTATAAGTGAGTATTCATCAGTTAAATGTAGTGACACTGTTTTAACTCATTTTTAACATATACTCCTTTGTCCCAGTAGCAGGGAGTCAATTCAATGGATACAAAAATTTTCCTGCTTCAAAAAGACTGAAATGTAGAAGATTATCTCTGCCTATTTGAAATAACATATTCACAAGTTCCTACATCCACACACTACTCTGCTAATTAAAATGGAAAGGCTAACTTTCACACACTGTCATCTGGAAGGCTGTGAAGGGTTTCCAGTTCCTTCCTCTAATTCTTCACTCTTTTTTCATTTTTTTGGACCTGAGACATCCCAATGTTTAGCCATATTAGTTTCCCTCTTCAGGTTATCATCCCATGCTATTACAATGATGGACTGCTGTGGTTGTCTTGGGACTACTAGGGATTAGTCATTCAATGCCAGTCGACTTCTTTATCCATAAAGACTTGGCCCTAGAGAGACTTTCATATATACTTGATGTCATGACTTGTTTTATTTAGAACTGTATATTTTCCTTATTGCCTCTTCTTCTTTTAAATAAATCAAACAAAACAGGTATTCCTGGAGAACCTCTGAGTGGAAAGAATGCCAAGTCTCTCCCCTCCTGGAGCAGCAGGACCCCCATTGGCATGTGACAGGACCTGTTTGCGGCGGTGGGATCCAGACCCGTGAGGTGTACTGTGCCCAGAGCACACCAGCAGCCACTGCACAGAGGGCCAAGGAAGGTAGGCAGCCAGTTCCTGGATAGATGGTGCTGCTGGTTGGAAGGGAAATCAACTCCAACACCATCTCCTAGTCATCTTCTTGATAAATGGACCCTTAGCATTCAAAAACTTAATATTTGTTTTGTTGACCATTTGCAAACTACCCTCAATTGGGGAATAGTTAAACAATAGTAATAATAATAACATCTCTCACCAAAGGTTTGTTGTGAAATTTAAGAGAACAACAGTACCAAAGGTGTTTAGTGTAAATGGATTCTACATGTTAAGAGATTGGTGTGCTCAAGTGAGACTATTGGTAATGAATGAATAGCATTTGTTTTTCTCCTCAGAGTATTTTTTTTTTAATTTTGTGAGTGTGAAAATTTCTACAGGCATATCCCTTTCAAGTGTCAAAGAGCCACTTTTTATAAAAAATTATTTGTAAAACAAAAGAAGGGGAGCAGAGGAGTAGCTTTCTCCATATAAAACTCTCTCTTAGGCAGATACACCCTCAGCACTAGTCCCTTTGTTGCAAAGTTTAGGTGAGTGATAGCATGTAGAGTCTGGGAAACCTGCTTCAATTTAGGCAGGTCAATGGATTAAAAAGCCAAGCACGGACAGCAATACTTCTATCCTAGAAAAATGTGTGGCCTCTTCCAGCCATGTTGGAGAATATGGGCAGGGCCTATACAGAATTGGTAAAGGTAAGATGTTTCCTTGGACTTGCCGAGCATGAGTACGCCCTTACGCTGTGGACTTTGTTTAGGATGGAAGGTGAAAGCTTTCTTGGTGTGGTAAAGCATGACTTTAATTTAATTTATTTATTTATTTGGAGTTGGAGAATATCATGCCAAGTGAAGTAAGACAATCCCAAAGAACCAAAGGCCTGAATGTTTTCTCTAATAAGTGGATGCATTCCTTCTCTTGTGAAAACCTTTTTATGCTAGATACTTTTGTGGTATGGACTCTCAGAGTTGTAGAAATAGATGATCACCTTGTATCACAATTTTTATAGACTCCTTAGCATTTTGCTTCAATAATCAAATTTACAGATCTGCACTTGTGGGGCCAGCATTATAAATAATAGTAGCTATATTTTCTTTCTTCTCTAAATTCACTTTTGGAAAGTGAAGACTGACTTTCTATTTCAATACAAAACATGACTTTGCTTACTTCTCTGAATTTGGAGAAGCAGAATTTAGATAAAACACTCTAGGTTATTTTATCAAACTTTGGTGGTCTTTGCATCCCATCTCCTCTCTTCTTCCCTTTTATTACAATCTATAGTTCCAGAATCTTTTAGGAGGGACACATAAATTTTTTAAAATATAGAATTAATTTTTTATAGCCTACCTATCTATTTTCAGGTTCAGTGTTGAATCATGCATTGAAATTTGCATCTTCTGAAAGTTTCTTATGGATCACCTAAGTTTCTAAGTTTCTTTTACCTTAGTATTTCCAACTCTCTTAATTGAAACATACTGGGCAGAAAGATTGCAATTACGAAGAAAGTAGAAAGGTGGTATCTTAGACTTGGAAATTAGGTGCTGCATGGTGGGGGACAAATAAAGAATGGGGGTTACTTACAGGTTTAGCAGCCTACCTGCTTCAGGCATCCAAAAAAGAGGAAAATATCTTAGCATAATGCATACTTCAAAATTCGTACCAGGGTTAACATGGAAACAAAGTACTTCAAATCTCTCAGTCTGATAGCCCAATTCTCAGGAAGAGGAGGTCTAATGAGAAGCCAAGATGTAAACGTATCACTGTGTATCATGACCATGAACTCCTGAACAGCATTGAATGCAGTGAGTAAAACCATATTGGCATGGTCACATTAAACTCATGCTAGAGCTTACTACTCAACTTTGTAGTTGTTATCAAAGTCTTTATTTTGCTCTTTTGTGCAAGTAAAACTGAGGGTTATTCGACAATTACATCAATTAATTAAGCCTCACTTAGTTGCCTCAAATTTGCCATCCTCCTGCCTCAGCCTCCTAAGTGGTTGAAATTACAGGGTTCTCTATTGTGCCCAGCTATTCCTTTCTTTTAAATGCTTTCCTTTCTTCCTGTTATCATTTCTAGATTGTTTCATGACAAACCTGGCAACATGGAATTTCTTCTTGGCCCAAGATAAAATCAAGAGAACAATTGAGTTCCTGCTGTAAGAGGCCAGCTGAGGGTTTGAGAAATGAAATAGGCAGCATTTTAATTTTCTGACCCCTTCTGCTAATGTAATAAAGGTCAAAATCGATGCCATGTTTTGCATTTCAGTTTCTGTGATCAACTTTTAAAAACTATTATTATTTTAAATTATGGAGGAAGAAGGCATTTTTGTAGCATTGATTTCAGAAAGTCCTTTCTTAGTCATAGATGACTTCACCACAAGGTTAATTTTCCCTTAGACTCAGTTATTCTCTCTGTTGACTCCCTGGAGTGTAATTGCTTATCTTTCTTTCCTTATAACATTCGCCCATCCACTGTAGGTTAGCTACTATGCATTCCAAGACCCTGACCTTAGAGGAATCCACAGTTTTGGGAAGAAAAGACAAAACTCTATTTACATGGATCTCTCATGCATTAGAATGTAATAAAATTCCAGATGCCAGAATGAAAAAGAATGCTGATTCCCAACTGTTTCAAGTTTCTTAAGCTAGCCTGGATCCTGAGGATGAATCATGATGTTGATGTGGTTCATTAATGACTTAACTTTGGGGATTGCCTGTCCCCTTTAGATCTCATTCATGGTGTTTGCAGAGCAATGTTTTGATACTTTTTGAAATATTTACCTGAAACTGTCGTTCAGTGTTCATGTGCTATTTTAAATGCAACCCAAATAATCCTGTAACAACCCATAAGAGAAGTATTACCAGTAGTATAAGCAAAGCCAATAGCATTGAGAATGAAATGAGGAATACTTATGATTTTGTTTACCAGTTGTTGTTTTATAACTTAGAGGCATCTGTAAAAGTGGATGCTTACCTTTAAATCTAGAATCTTGGATATGGTAAGACCACTTTCTTGTTGCTCTTTTCTCAAATAAAATTAAAGCCACTCAGTCTTCATTCAAGAATCGTTCTCAGAAGGTAACGTGTGAGACATATCTTCAAAATCTAATAAAGACTAGGGCAAATTTATTCTATTTATAACAATGTTTCCCAGAGCCTGGAATATCAACAAATATGGAAATATGTGTGTGTATGTGTAAATAAAATGTTTATGTTTATATATATATCAGACACACATTTATATGTTTCACATTCATTGTTTGGCATCAAATAAACATAGCTATTTTAGGAGTGAGACTCTTAAGGAGCAGCTTTGAACTGTTTGTTAAATTAACTGGTCACCTCCTCTACCCCACTAGGGCTGTCTTCATTAGGCTTGGCCCAGAGTTGGTGTGAAGGGAGAACACGAGCAGATAAGGGACATGTCCTGGAATGCTAGGTGTTGTAGGAAGACATCGTATTTTAGGTTTGAATTCTGACTTGGAAGGAAGTTTTATCAGCCACTTAAATGTTTGTACTATTCATAATTCATCCCATTGTAGGCACTATGGTGATTTGGTAAGTTAAAATAGATGATAATCATTATTTTTTTTTTATCCGTCCCCCAAACAATTTGTCACGTACCAATGTCACGTACTATGTTTTATGCTGTGTGCCATGCACTGCTTCTATAAAGGCACCCTTCTATAATTTACTAGAATTGGAAAAACAATTTTCCTGATAACCATGCTATTGTGTCTTAAGTCTTGTGATCACTGCATATATCATATGGCTAAAACCATTTAATGATGCCTAGAGATAATGTTTCAAAGAGGAGGCAGTGATTCTAGGAAGTTTGGAGGATCAATAAGAAAAAATGTTTAAGTATGTGTGAGAGAACATATGGATAGGACTGGAGATGCCTGTGTTCAGTGGGGCATGCCCACTGGTGTGAGGAGAACTCAGAAAAGAAGGAAGCCACGAGGGCACTGGAAAACAAGGCTGCCTGTGCTATTCACAAGGTAATAATTCATTTTTTGAGAGTGTGAGTGCCTATTACAGCCTTTACCACCCACCCACCTCAGACTTTTAAATCAGGAAAGAAATTTCATATGCTTATCTCTCTCTCTC